AGCTGTGGTTAGTTCCATATCTTAATTGTGTAATTCATGTATAGTAAGATGATCTATAGACTGTCAACAGTCCTCTGGTCTAATTTGTTAGTATACAAAATTAGTAAATGCCGAAGGCAAGGTATTTCAGCAAAGGCCTTGATTTTAAGTATGCATGCAAGCGAATGACACCACTCGGTTTTAATAATAGGCTGAGCATGGTTCACTTACTGTTTAGAGGTCAACAAAATAAAGGTCACAGATCCATGTGCTTTTTTCGCTGTTCTTTCGTGCTCGTGATCAGCAGATATTTTAAACTAGAGACCAACATCAAAGCGTATTCAACTTTCTATTTCCTGTGTACAGTACACAATGATGTGTCCACCGAATCTGTGATTGGCTGGTTGCTTTGTGACGTTGCATGAGCTGTCAATCATTCTCTGATCAGTACCGATTGAAAACCATGTAATTTCGCGTGAGGGCATTTACAAGCGTTAACAGTCCTCAGGCCTCTAACCTTCGCCTAAATGCCTTCGGCCTTTGGTGTTAGCAGATTTAGTATACTATTATTCCCGATTACTGTCAACAGTCTAGATGGATCTGTAACAATTTGTATACACTGATATGTCTGACAGTCATGGGCCATTAACGCATATGCCCCCCTAGTTACCAGTGATAAATAAATGATTGTTTACATAACAGTTCAAGTTTATCACATATAGCAATATTACATTTTATTGAACTTAGTGAGTGTGATGTAAAGTGACAACCAATTTGAGAACAATTATAATTGAACAGTATCCCTTTAATAATAATTTTGAATCGTTTCTATTTTTGTTTTTATATTATCAAATTCTGAAAAAAACAAGGAAATGAAAAATTACAATCCCCCAGTGTAATTTTCTGATATTCCATCTGTAGAACAGCTACAGTGAGGTTAATGAAAGTGAAATTGGTAGAGAGCCCTCCCGTGACAACAAAAGGAAAGCTAGCTCACCTTTGACCTCACATGATGTACAGTTGGAATCAAGTTCTGATCCTAATATTAGTGTGCATGCATCTGAGGAAAGCCAGTTCAAACTCAAAATAATGGTGAGTATTGTATCTCTGCACAAATCCCTTTTTTAATGCCATATTTTTTTCCCGCCAAAATTTTGGTTCTATATTTTGCATATTTTTGTGTATTCTCCTGTATTTTCTTTAATTTTTAATCAAAATGACTTAATTTCCCGTTTCCTCCAGGTCTGGATCAACATTTTTGAGATAATATTCCAATAAAATGCTGGTTTATTTTGTGATTAGTGACAGTTTAAATTCAATGGAAAACAAAACGTACTTTCATCTGTAACACAGAATTGCTTTTCAGTAAACCAATCTAACCTGATTCACAACCTGAATCTGGACTAAACTGGAAACCAAAGTGTGTAAAGCAAAAAACCAGAATTTTCAGAATTAATAAAGTAGTTTGTCCTGTTAAATTTTGTATCTCCTCAAAATTTTTGGATTACTATTTCTACTACATGTATGCGACAAAGTACAAATAAT